GGAGATGATGGGGGGGAACGTCTGGTACGAGACGGGAAGCTGTTGCATGGCACATGCCTGAATCAGCTGAGGGAGGGAACAGAAAAAGAGAGATCAGACACCCACCGTGAGCATGGCTGACTCTCCCCAGAGCCTCCAACAGACTCCATGCCCCCACAGCCTTGCACTCTGGTGGGCTTGGGTCCCTATGTGATCTCTGGGCACCCACAGCCCAGGCTGTCGCCTGCGGGTGTCCCCACTGTCACTCACCGGGGGTGGGAGGCAGCAGAGCGGGTAGTGCTGTCCACTGAACATCACTGAGCATGCTGGGAGCTGCTGGGTGCTGCACCCAGGGATGTGCTGGCCGGCGTGGATGGGGAAGCCTTGCGTCGTGACGGTGGTAACCGTGTAGGAGAGAGGGACGGGTCCCTGGTGCACCTGAGGATGAAGTGCCAAGCACATGGTCAGGGTACAGCCCTGGATGAGCTGTCCCCATCCTGGCAGGGTGGCAGCAGGACACTGAGCACCCAGCACTAGGAAACAACCACCCAGCACTGCTGTCCCAGTGGTGTGCCCAGAGGAGAGGCACTCAGTGCAGGCTGCATTCGAGGTGGGTTTTGGACCTCTCTTTGCTTCTCACGGCTTCCAATCCAGAACCACCACCATGGACAATGGTGACAGTTGTGATATGAACACTATGAGGGGACTGTCCCCATCCCCTGAGAGCAGGGACCACCCTGGGTACACCTTCATATGTATAAGCAGGACAGAGACACCCTGGGCATCCCACCCATCACCCCCAGCTCAGACCCACAGGGATTGCATATATAAGCTGGCAGAGGGACCGAGGGTTTAAGTGCTCAGAGGATACTTTGCAGCTTCACAGCTGGGTGCTCCCAGCAGCAACTGGCGATCCTGATGGGACCCAGGGACATTATCTTGGGGCCACCACAGGGTCACCTTTGGGACTGGGGGCTGCAGCACGTACCTGGTCATGCAGATCCACCATGAATGGGTTCTGGTGGGGCGGGTGAGCGGCCGGGTGAAGCATTCGTGGCGGCGTGCTGGGGAGAGCGTATGCGCGGGGCTCATCTACAGGGCCGTGCGGCTGCTGGGGGAAGGCAGGGTGCAGCTGGGGCTCATCCTGGCCCAGCAGGGCTGCCAGAGGTCGGTCGCGTCGTCCCCACTGACGCCTGGCAGGGGGGCTGCGGGGCCACCGCAGGAGAGAAACAGAGCAGGAGTGACCCCCCGGGCCAGGGGCACCACAGCCCTGGGCAGGGCAGCCGCAGGTGGGTCAGTGACAGCTTGGCTCCCGGCCTGAGGTGCTGAGCACATCGTGCCACGCCAGGCCC